TATGTATGTATATACATGTATATATATGTATATATATAAATATATATATATATATATGTGTGTGTGTGTGTGTGTGTATATATATGTGTGTGTGTATGTATGTATGCATGTATATATATATATATGTGTGTGTATGTGTGGGCGTATATATATACCTATGAGCAATATTTCATACATACATAAGAGCAATATATCATACATATAAATGAGCAATACATTATACATACTTATGTACAGTATACTAAACTTAGCTGGTCTCTGATCATACCGCATATTCTGCCTCAGATTGTAAGGAGTTTGAATGGAACGATCACCACAGACGGCCGGTACTGCACCCACATCGTGGCTCCAAAGGTATGTGCCCTGCCCATTAGTGTAGTAATAGTATAAAAGTAATGTTATAGTAGTAAAAGTATACCAGTAGTAGTATATAGTAGTAGTATAATCGTAATAGCATGAAAGTAATAGTGTAATATTACCAACAATAAACCCTTAACTATTACTATTATACTATTACCCTCAACTATTACTATTTAACTATTACTATTACACCAGGACTCATACCCTATCACTAATCTCACACATGTATACGCGAATCGATTGATTATGTTTACTCCGCATGTGTTACACCCATACTGATACTCTATACATTCACCCGAGAAACAATCAATAGCCACTCACCCCAATACCGACTGTCTCCCACCCACTGAACTAACGTCCAGGTGGCGCGAACGATCAAACTGCTGGTGGGCCTGTCTGTGTGCAAACATGTCGTGACCCCAAAGTGGCTCGAAGACAGTGGCAACGCTGGCTACTTCAAAGGTACAAACATGCGCACCCACTGCAGAGGTCGTTCCTCGCCTGCAAAGTACGGGAGTTCGGTACATTGTAATCTAGGGTTATGGCCGAAAGTTAAAGGACTAAAATCTACCGTGAGACCCTCGATCCTATAACGCCTCCACTTTGAAGCGGCTGCTGATGCTCGCCAGTGGAAAGTAACCCTTCTCGCGGACGGGCTCTGGTTTATGGTAGTTAACCAAGCGTGGAATGTGATCTGGCCTGACATGATTTGTAAATTTTTGGGTCTTCTGCCCTGATTTTTAATTCGGGTGCCTTCTTTAATTCTTTTCCACACAGATGAGGCGGAATACGCGACACAGGACCCGATCAATGAGCGGAAATATGGCTTCAGTCTGAGCGCTTCCTTGCAAAAAGCCTCAACCCGTAAGGTATAGTATATATATATACATGAGTGTGTGTGTGTGTTTGTCTGTGTGTGTGTGTGTGTGTGCGTATCTGTGTATGTGAGTGTTGGTGTTTGTATATATAAATATGTAGATATATATATATATATGTGTGTGTGTGTGTGTGTGTGTGTGTGTGTGTGTATATATGT